TGGGCCGGTCCCGCGGACATTTTGGTTCGAAAATTTACTGGACCCGGACCAACGGGTTCTCGGCGAACGTTTACGCTAAACGCCTCCGGTAAACAGTTTTCGAAAACGCTTCCAGCGGATGTTTTTGGGAAACATTTCTTTTTTATAATATCGTTGATTTTATAACAACGTTTATCAATAAAATATAAGTAGAAATCAGTGAAATATTTCTAGAAAATAAATTTCTGCTGGTTTGTCCAAGGAATGATTTCTAGCAAATAATTTCTACAATTGCAACTGCAATTTTTATAAAACAAAAACGACGACCAGCAAGTAATTTATATTGAAACATTTCTAGCGGATGATTTTGTCGGTGAACAATCTCTAGCGATGAATTTCTACTGGACAATTCCTGATGAACAATTTCTACCGAATAATTCCTCGTGAAAAATTGTTTAGCAACAATTTCTAGCGGACAAACTCGTGCGATTAATTTCTGCCGAACAATATCTAGCGAACAATTCCAAGTGAAAAATTTCTAGCGACAATTTCTCGGAAAATGTCCACTGAAAAAATATTATCCGTCCGACGAACATTTCTCGCAGGAATTACGTGATCGAAATTGGGGTGTCCAAGCGAACAAAGTATGCGTTGCGTAAATCGTTGTCGCAGCAAACAGCGATAAGGTTCGCCGATTTTCTTGGAAACAAGGATCTCGGCGAGGAATTCTGTGGATGTTTGGCCAATGATTAAGAAGACCAATGTTTGGAGCGGGGACTCGAATTAGTTTTATGTAATTTGCGCGAACGGTAGTGAGTAATAATTCATATCCATGTTGAGTAGCTGCTTTTTTTGTTGTTGTAAATCCCGCCTGTTTGCGTTCTTGCGGAAGAGCGCGACGTAAAAAGCGATTTGCATGGTCGGACAAAAAAAATGTAATAGCATTCTTCTAAAGCATTCTCAGTTTTCGCCTAAGTCGGTCAAACAGCGATAACGACAAATATTCCAGCGTTATAAAATCTCGATAAGAAGATGGATCGCTTACGCGCTTCGTTGTTCTCTTCGTTCTAGAAACTAGTCGAGTGGAAATGTTTCTTCCTCTTTTTTTTTATTTACAGTCGCAACGTTGCTGGATCTTTTAGCAAAAATTTCAGAAAGATGTTACAACCGACGGGAAAAAGATCGCGAGAACAATCGAGTGGGGGGAGAGCCGACAGAAAACTGCGAGGGAGTGTCGGCGGCGAAATTCGCAGGTGGTTCGACGTCGACACCTCGTCTGCGATCTTAACGATCGATCGACTTTTCCCCGGAGGGCTCCGAACACAATTTTCCACCCCCGTCCGCATTCTGAGAGCGTAGTGCTTCCTCCCTCGCTTCCGGGTTCCCGTCTCTTCCGGCCGGAATTATGTTTCGAAAGGCTTTCTTCTCCCTCCCCCCGCCGCCCGACACCCACTTCCTGTTCCTTCCACTTCGTTCGAGCTCTTATCAGCCCACCCCCACCCTTCCTGCTGCCGTAGAAAACGCGGGGCGGAGAAGAATTCTGAAACTTCTCGCTTCCGAATTAATCCGATCGACTGCCGCAAATTAACACCAGCTTTACCATTTATTTATTGTTTATTTACCATTGATTTGTCGTTTATTTGTTACTTGCTATTTATTTGCTATCTTTCTTTACCATTTATTTACTACTCATTTCGGATCTATTTGCTATTTATTTACAATTTCTTCGATATTTATTCACGATTTCTTTACCATTCATTTGGTATTTATTCACCATTCATTTGCAATTACATTTCACTGAAATTTCCTCGCGAATCAAAAATTTATTCTGAAAACAAAATATCGCCCCCTCCGAATTAAATCACAGCGACCAGAATTCCGGCAAAATTACGGCGCGGCCGACTTTCTTCCGTTGTTATTTCGACTTGAAACCCGATTTCCGAAAATATGGCAACGAAACGAAAGATACTTCTGCGTTGTTTTTCGAGAAAGGTCGGTGGCGCGAGCTGGAACAACAAGTTTCACGAGTCGATGGCGAAAAATTCCGTTTTTCTCCGCGGAGTGGAAACAAAACAGAAGACAAAAAAATGAGAAGAGAGGAGCGAGAGAGGAGGGAGAAGAGAGAGAGAGAGAGAAGAAAAGATAGAGTGAGAGAGAGAGAGAAACGGTAACACGGCCGCGCTAAGAAGGAAGGAATTATGCATGATTTTGTTCGGGCTCACGTGTTATGTAAATGATAACGTGCAACTTCCTGAATAACGATCAAGGAGCGTAAGCAACAGTCGGTCCGCTTAGTCGTCGCTCGCTCGCTCGCTCGGTCGCGCGCGCGCGCGCTCACGCACGCACGCACGGGTGCGCGCGTGTACGCGTTTAGTGCGTGCACACACGTGTCCGCGCCTACGCGCGGCATCGTGTGGGAGAAAGAGGCTGACGACGGCGGTGGGGGACCATAGAAATTCCTCGTACAGTTAGAAATTGAGTGATACAGGGCCGAGAGGTTAATTTTTTTCTTGCGGGACACCCACGTATGTACCGGGTGTAAAACGACAAACGGGTATCGGTTAGAATGAAACGAACGAACGCCGCGGGCCGACGCTGCGCGAAAAACTGAGTGGGGGATGTGGTGCAATACGATTTCCTAGAACGCGCAACGTTTCCGAGATAATCCAGTCTGCGAGCGTGCACTATTTTTTCTTTTTTTTTTCACTCCACAAAATCAGTATCGATCTTAACGCTGGAACAACCAAGCTCTAAACAAGACCAATATATATATATACATATAACGACAAGATTGTGGATTTATTGAAATTTCCCTGCTTCGTAGACAAATTTCTTGGACGAGAACACATTTTTATTGGAACCAGGAACTTGTAAAAAAAAAATATCGGAAGGCAATTGTTTTCGACTGGTTCGATGGTTGTTCCAGCGTGAAATGCACATCGGCTCGTCTACGTCATTTTCACGGTGCGAAAGGTCACGGGGTTACTTTTTATTTAAAAACTATATATCGCCACGTAATTACGGAAATAGTGCCGGCTATTATAACCGGCTATGAATAGCGACGATAGATTTATCAGCGTTCTGTAAAGGGCTGTTCTGCATTTAGATTCGAGTAGCTGCAACACAACTTTTCTGCAACGATGCACGGCGCTGCGTGCACTGTTTCCCCCGTGCGAAAATTCCGACGTGCCATCGCCGTTGCTGGGAATCGATGTGTTTTTCTGCCGAGAAACCCCGATGCACGCGCGGCGACGTCAATTCGGTCGGTAAAACAGCGCGGCGCCGCGGCGGTCGCGTTGAGAAATTTCTCGGAAAAGCCGGTTTTCCTCGACAATTATCCAGGAACGTGACAATAGGATTTTCCTGTAACGTTGATTCACCGACGAACCTGTTTCCTCTGCGCGCGCGGCGCGGCGCGACTACGACATATCTTTTCGCTTCTTTTTTTTCGCGATACTTTTCGTCATCCGTTTGTTTGAACGGCAATGAAACTGCGAGTTTTCAAGCGATTAGATTCCACGGGCAGGCGAGATACAACAGCCTCCCGAGATTAGAACGTTTCGAGGAAAAGATCAACGCTCGTCGACGTTCGCGAAGGCGATTTTTATGTACGCGCCTGGTATATTGTTCTTAAATCGTAATTGTGCGGTCAACGGAGACCAATCGCGCGAAATTTGCGACCAAAAAATCTAATCCAATTTTTACGGTGTATACGTATACGCTCACGGTAAACGTCCGATTAGGTTTTTTATATACATACATGTATACATAAAAGGAGTAGCACGAAAAATGAGGATAAGAACGCGAACGCGACGCGCGAGTTTATTTACCGTGCGCTCTCGTTTCGAATAGCCCGCCCCGCCGTGGATATAATAATTTCTCACGGTGGTTTCGATCACGATCGCGGAATTCTTACGAGTCTCCCGAACGGCTCGACCGAACGAACAACCGTGTTCGGTTCGTTTGTCCCCGGCTACGTTCGAAGCGACTTATTAATTGCGTCCTTTGGCGCGTGTTTGCCTCGCGTTTTCTTTGTACAGTCTCTTACGTGGTTATTACCACTTCCGGAAAACGAAGGAAGCATATAAAGCGGCACAGACGCGTCGGAGCAACGAGGATAACATCGCCGGAACGTTGTAAACAGATGACCGTTCCGCGGCGATTCCGGGAACGAGATAAAGAAAAAAGGAGAAAAAGGAACGCGATACGAAAGAAGAAACGGCGTTCGATCTCTCGGTTGAAAGCGTTTTTCCTGTTCCCGTTTCGGCCGATTCGGAGTCGTCCGTCGACGCTCGTGCACCGATCATGTTTTCTAGGAACGACACCGCGAGACAAAGAATCCTATCTCGGTAAAATACACGATCCTTAATAGTTTAATCGATAATCGGATCGATTCGTTTCACCGCGAGATAGCATCAATTCATTCATAACGACGTCGCGAGCCGAGTCTCTCGATGCGGATTCGCCGACAAAAAATTCGAACACGTGTAACGTCTCTTCACCGTGAAGAAAAACACGATTTTTCACACTCGCCAGCACGTATACGTATCTCGGCGAGATAGCGTATCTACCGGTGACTAACTGACAAACGAAATCGGCGCGGTAAAAGTTCCTGCCGGAGACACCTGACTCGACCGCAGGCCACCGCTCGAATCAAAACACAATCTCTCCGAAACCAGCTATGCTACTAGGAACATGCCCGTAACCTGCAATTTCCTGTCCCACGGACAGGTTGTCGATCGCGGAAAGGCGCACGTGGGTCAAACAAAGGCCACCTGAAACGGTAACCACCGCCGCTACCTCCTCCTCCTCCTCCTGCTTCTCCTGCCGCGGTCGCGATTGCCCGAAAAAAACACCGGACAGAGAGAGAGAAGTTTCCGTGGAGTCATGCACGCAACGAGAAGTTCGGCCAGATAAGCGCTATCGGAATCGTCGCGGGTATTTACGCGTTGAAAATCGGTGTCGGGCCACTCGAGCGATAAAACCGCTCGAGGAAGTAAAGGGAGAGGATAGATCGTTACCTCGATCACGGGCTGAACCGTCTGACGCGGCGTAATATCAGTGCGGAGGATCGGCTGGCGAGTTTATGCGAGTGCCGTCGGCGGTCATCGGGCAGAAATCCGCGCCCTAATGCGTCGCTGTTGCCTGGCATCCACAGGTATCTCGTCGTCGCCGCCCGACCACGCGCACGTGTGTCGTGTTCCTTCCGCCTCTGTCTCTCTCTCCTCCTTTAACCGCGCATAAATCCCATCTGATCCACTAACGACGGTTTACACAATCCCGTTTTACGTGCAGAAAATGCCATCCGATATGTCTCGGAACGTTCCTGGGCAGCGCGCGCGCGAGAGAGATATCCGTATATATCGGAATATCCTCTTAAATCGTATCGACCCGAGTGTGTATCACCAGAGAGCCACACACACCACTCCGATTTTCCAGTCTCGGGAACGCACACGAATAAAACTGTGATATATATGCATGTGCATATATATATGTATGTATATATATGTATATATATACGTATTACATGTATGTACGTATGATGTATGGATGTTGTATATCTTTCTCTATTCTCTCCTTTCACCTTTAGACGCGAGTTCGGCTCGATCGGTCACGCGTCCGTTCGGTGTCGAGGCTGCCGAGCGACTGAGCCGCGAGCCGCGTACCGCCGCTGGATGCTTGCCGCCACGCCCCCCCCACCATCGGATCGGAGGAGAATTAATGGTCTGCGCATGCGCCGCCGAACGGAGACAAATGGACCGGCGAGACGCGACGAACGCCGAGCGGCGAACGAGGACAGACGGACACCGGCGCGGAGCGGCGCGGCGCGCGGCATGGCGCGAACGGAAATAATCGAAGCGTTGTAATCGAGTGGGAAATGCCGGGGAAAATGGTGGGGCCTTCACCGACTTCCTTCTGGCTTCCTCGTAATCCCACCGACGACGACGACGACGACGACCACGGCGTACGGTGATCCCGATCCGAGAATTTTCGGATTGATCGATCCCGGCGGGACCTCGATCGATACTTTGCTAATCCCTCGCGGATGTATTTGTAATTTCGATCTCGAGAATTATCGATATTAATACCACTTTGCAAGGCGACTGTCTTCATTCGCCCGAGTTGGGCCAGTTAATTTAATTGGAGTCGTTTCGTTCGATCGATTTATTCGTACGGGTGAACAGCCGTTTTTACGATAATTAGTTGTTATTGTTTATGAAAACTTGTTCTCACTTTTGCGACGTTGGCTGCAAATTTGTCTTGTTTAAAAGATCGTTTATTTAAGAGAGACGTTTATTTAAGCGTCGTTCAATGCGTTGAGCAAACGTTCATAACTAAAGAGTCCATAGAAAGGCGTTCGATTATGAAAGATCGAACGAGATCTGAAACGAGAGATCGAAGATGTCCGCCTGCTCCCCCCCCCCCCCTCCCAGAAGTCAATGCAAGTCAATGGTTGATCGTTAGTCGTGCTGTGTCGCTTTGTTGTTGGTTACAGAATTCTTGTGACGATGTTGAACCAGTTTTGGATCGTCTTTTGGACAGTTTGTGCCTCTTCGACCGGTCTCTGACGTCGTCCTGGAACGATGATCGCCGAACGGTGAGTAAATATCGATGCATAGTACGTTCCAATCGATTCTTTAACCTGCGTTTCGATCGCGGGAAAAGCGCGCGTACACGCGCTGATGCGTTTACGATTAAAACGTATTGTCAGTGTTTAATTACACCGTATAACATTGAGGTTACATACAGATATATGTAAGTATGTACGTATTTATCTTATCGAGCCCCGAATTTATTTTCTACGCGCTACGTTGCGAAAGCGTCTGGCCCTTTTGTAATCATAAAGGTTATGCATAGCAATTTTAAATGTTTCCAGCTCGACGGAAGGCTGGCGAAACGTAAATTATGATTAAAGAACATTCTTAGAGCATTCTTGCAATTGTTCAAGAGGAACAGATCAGGATTTAATATCGATAGAACAAATCGACAATTTGGGGTTAAGAAATTCAGGTTTATACATGTTGCGCGACGCACGTGCGCAAACGTTCGATCGAAAGCGCGGCGACGGCGAATTTGATTCGAAATCGAAACGAAAGATAATTATTTGAAATAATTGATCGCGCTGTTATTTCCAGATAAAAGTAATATCGATTCGTTCGAGATAAAGCGATTTCGGGTAATACATTATTTCGTTGCGTCTTCATTTCGAATTAGTCGACAGAAATAATGCGGTAAATAATGAGGAACAGAGAAAGATTTCATTTTACAAGATCTTCGCAATAATTTGTTTAAAGCGGTGCTCTCTTCTGCTGACAATAACAATAAACGAAACGATTTTATTTCACGATATCTTCGCAGTAATTTGTTTAGAGCAAAAAGTCAATTCCAAGCATTAAGTTCATCTATATAATTATTTCAAATAAATAATAATTATTACAAACAATTATTCCATATTATGAAATGAAACAACGTGTTGTTTGAAGTAATATATAAAACAGCGTTATTTCAGAAGGGATCACAGGCCTGGAAACACATGTGAAATAAAATAATATGTTATTTTTGAAATTATTCAAATAATGTGAACCGAAATGTGACCGGAGCTGGGTATAATTACAGGTTATGACTGGTGAGTTTTCTGAAGGTTATCGGCATGCTGGAATTTGACTCCTATCTCCTTATCACAATTGTATGAATCGATTACTCCCCGCGATCACTTCACACGATTTCGAATCTCGATAGAGCCAACCTCGCATTTAAACCTCTCTCTCTCTCTCTCTCTTTCTCTCTCTCTCTCTCTCTCTCTCTCCCCGTTCTCTCTCTTATACACATCTAGATGTGTATAAGAGAGAGAACGGGGAGAGAGAGAGAGAGAGAGAGAGAAAGAGAGAGAGCTGTCTCTTATACACATCTAGATGTGTATAAGAGAGAGAACGGGGAGAGAGAGAGAGAGAGAGAGAGAAAGAGAGAGAGCTGTCTCTTATACACATCTAGATGTGTATAAGAGAGAGAACGGGGAGAGAGAGAGAGAGAGAGAGAGAAAGAGAGAGAGCTGTCTCTTATACACATCTAGATGTGTATAAGAGAGAGAACGGGGAGAGAGAGAGAGAGAGAGAGAGAAAGAGAGAGAGCTGTCTCTTATACACATCTAGATGTGTATAAGAGAGAGAACGGGGAGAGAGAGAGAGAGAGAGAGAGAAAGAGAGAGAGCTGTCTCTTATACACATCTAGATGTGTATAAGAGAGAGAACGGGGAGAGAGAGAGAGAGAGAGAGAGAAAGAGAGAGAGCTGTCTCTTATACACATCTAGATGTGTATAAGAGAGAGAACGGGGAGAGAGAGAGAGAGAGAGAGAGAAAGAGAGAGAGCTGTCTCTTATACACATCTAGATGTGTATAAGAGAGAGAACGGGGAGAGAGAGAGAGAGAGAGAGAGAAAGAGAGAGAGCTGTCTCTTATACACATCTAGATGTGTATAAGAGAGAGAACGGGGAGAGAGAGAGAGAGAGAGAGAGAAAGAGAGAGAGCTGTCTCTTATACACATCTAGATGTGTATAAGAGAGAGAACGGGGAGAGAGAGAGAGAGAGAGAGAGAAAGAGAGAGAGCTGTCTCTTATACACATCTAGATGTGTATAAGAGAGAGAACGGGGAGAGAGAGAGAGAGAGAGAGAGAAAGAGAGAGAGCTGTCTCTTATACACATCTAGATGTGTATAAGAGAGAGAACGGGGAGAGAGAGAGAGAGAGAGAGAGAAAGAGAGAGAGCTGTCTCTTATACACATCTAGATGTGTATAAGAGAGAGAACGGGGAGAGAGAGAGAGAGAGAGAGAGAAAGAGAGAGAGCTGTCTCTTATACACATCTAGATGTGTATAAGAGACAGCTCTCTCTCTTTCTCTCTCTCTCTCTCTCTCTCTCCCCGTATATGGATATCTCAGTAATAAAGGATAATTAATCAAACAATAAACACCTCGGCGATAGTTTCCGTACGATTCGTTGGAAGACCGGGCAAGATTGCCACGTCACAGATACGTTAATCACGGTTACTTAACGAACAGGTGCATAGGCGCGCCTGTTCTCCCCTTTTCTCGGTTTTCTTCCGCAAGAATTGGCAGCCGGGTTTGAAGAAGGACCCCTCCGAGAAGCAATGCAGGTAGCCCACGTTTCTGGACGCCCACAAACCTGTTTTACCTGTTATATCCTGGCTGGCTTATGAGTACCACCGATTCTTATGCCTTCTTCTTTCCTTTTCAAAGAATTCGTCCTGCTAAAAAAAAAAGAAAGAAAAAAGAAAAGAGGAGAGGAAGAAAAAGTAAACCAACCGAGGAAAAAAGGAACGGGCTCCGGGGCCCGACTCGTCAATCAAATCACCCTCGCCGTGCATCATCAATATTAACTTAATAACAACGGCTCGATTAAAATATCAGAAATTTCGATCTTCGGACGCGATCGCAAGAATATCATTGGAAATCTCAATATGGCTGCTCGTCGTGCAATCGCGTGGGCACCTCGAGGCGGTCGATAATTTCATTATCATTCAATTAGTTCGAATAACATTTGTTCGAATAACAAATTATTTAACGGTCGAATAGAATTTCGCGCGAGTACAATTCGTTATTGGACTTAAAACGACGTTAACGTTAATGTTAACGATTTTGTTGTTGCAGTCGTTGAACCCGGTGTCACCCTATTTCATTTCTAGTCAAGTGATTTCGAATATTCGATACATGCTGTATCTTTTTTTAGGGAACCATGGCCGGCGGTAGCAGGGCGAGGAAGAAGTTCCTTTGGAATTTCGAATCGGAGATTTAATAGGTCCCCAAGGAGGGTAGGAAAGGTGCCGGTAACTTCTCTGAAGGGCCCTTTCTTCGATTGATCGGACGTGAGCGTAAGCAGGGTGGATACCGGGGTCCATTGTGGATCATCGTTCTTTTAGGAGGAGGAAAAAAAGATCTCGGGACCTGCCACATACCTGTCCCATGATTAATGTTACGCCTCCTCGGAAACCTTCTCGCTGGCTGACAGCCTCCGGAAAATCCGGTCCACCAATAACAGTGGCTTCGACCTCTCGGCCTGTAGATCTTCGAAATGTACGCTCACATGTCTCAAAATTTCCAAATACTCGGCCGGAGTAGTCCGTATTCTAGACCAGAAAAAACAAGGGGCCCAAACTATGTTACAGCGTTCTTGTCTTGCATTGGTTCGGATAATAGAAGAGTGACCTTTCCCGATTCTCAGCCGCGTTGGTCAGAAATGAATTTTTGACTGCAACGTCGAGCGTGTAAATTAAGATCCAGCAGCATTTTTATCTTACTTTCACAATATCTTAGCAGGCGAAGCGAACTTTTCTTTCATTTAAATTTTTGTAAAGCGACATATGCTCAATTAGAATTTGCATAAAGATCTGCAGTCTAATTATCAGGCTACCAAAAAAAAACGATCAAATGCAGGACACGAAGTGGCTCTCTAACGCAGGATTGTAATAGTACCTTCAATCTCTAGACTATTAAGGTAGTGAACATCCAACAGTTTCATTATCACCCTACTCAAAACACGCGATGCTCTAACGAAGATAAACTCATTGGTCAAATAGTAAAGGGTCTAAACTGTTATACAGCACCTGTAGCTCTTACTAATTCGAACGCCTGGTCCACTTAAATGAACATTAGTTATCTCATTCTACTTGAAACATCATCCCAAAGCTCTACCGAGGACAGTTCGGATAATAGATGTCCACAGTACCCTGACCTGTACACTCCATTAGTTCCGATCCAGTTTCATCGTACACGCTCCCGAGTCCCTCCAAATGACCGTTACAACTGTTTTGTCACGAATGTATCTTAAGATAGGTGTGGTTTTAGTGGAAAAGGAGTCGCAGTTCCGATAGCAGAGGGTAGGCCGGCCGGTCAGAGGATTGTTCCAATCTCAAGCTCGAGTAGGATTCCGTTTTGTCGCGGTTACGTCAACGCATCGGTCGAAGGAAGAAAGAAAGGGAGATCCTGCAGCCTCGAAGAATGCCGTGTAATGATGCTGCACATCCGGGAGGACGGCTGAAATGACTCCGAGCCCCCCTCCTCCGCCCCTGAACTGGTCCCTTCCCTCTTACCTTCCTCTTTCTCTGCTTCTCTCTTTCTTCATCTATCTCCGCCTTTCTCTCTCTCTCTCTCTCTCTCTTTCTTTTTCTCTCTCTCTCTCTAGCTTCTCTCGTTCATGTTACTTGTTTTGATTCCAAGCCTTTATCGCGCGGTTCTTCTCCTTTTTCTTCACCGGCGTGTCCGGTTGCTTCTTTCGACCGTTCCTCATCTCTCTTACGTCTCCCTTCTCTCCGCTCCTTCTCTTCCATCCTCCTTCTTCGGGTGCTCTTCCGCTCTTTTCTCTGGATAACTGTTCCCGATCATTTTTGTTCGCAGAACGTCAGCATTTCGGCGTAAATTGCTTGAGATTTTAACAGCTTTTCAATCATATTCTTAGACCGAAGTGGCAATTTTTCATTCCGGATTGAACTTGCTGTGTCCAGGCTACGACCTGCTAGGCTGAATCAATTAATGCCGCAGCTTTTCAGCGTCAATTGTAGTCCGTTTAAATTCTCAATTTTTCAATGCA